AAGTCCAAGGAGACCAAGTCAAGCGATGAGCATGTCGGGTGACAATCCTCTGTAGCATGATTGTGTGCTACGGTATCGAAACGCCTATACCCATGATAAGCGACACAGTTTCTCTTACAATGGTAGGAGGGGGAATCCTTGTAAAGGGCGAGCTTGGGTTGGCTTGGAAAAAGGCTATTGCAAGCCACGTCTCTCTATAATTGGATGCTGGAACAACAAGCAGACCACATCAGATCATTGAAACATCACAACACCAGACCGGCACACTACCTACGTCCTAGCCGCAAACATGAATGTCACCAGTGGCAGCCAAGATCACCTTGAACGGGCAGGGAGCCAGGGCCCATACCATGATCCGCCACCAAGAATATCACCTTCACCACCCCGGACGAAAACAATCACCACATCAAGACATAGCCTCAAGATGGGTCATGGCCGCCGCTACCGAGGGGAACTACGAGGCCGCTGCCTTGCTCCTTTCCCACGGCGCCGACGTCAACGGCCCCTCGATAACCATCTCGCCGCTCGTCGCCGCCATCCACGCAAAGAGCCTCAGTATAGTCGAGTTCCTCTTCGACCGCGGCGCGGACCCGAACAAGAGCCCCATTGGCATGCGGCCTGTGCGCTTCGTGCTCGGGGAGATGGCCTGCTGGCACGATGTGCGGAAGCCTCCGAGGTAGAGCTGCAAGACCTGCTAGGAGCGATTGCTCTGGCTGCATATACTGGCCGTGTTGAGGAAGTATGGGGGGCGGCCGCTCGTGGCGCGCTTGGGTGTGCGTTTGGAGCGGCGGCGGATGTGCCGTGGCCAGAGTATAATCTGGTGAGTGGGCTACGGGCCGGAGTGGAGGTGTTCAGCATGAACTGACTGCTGGTTGCAGAACCGGAGCGTTTGGAGATGAAGACGAAGAGAAAGGCCCCCCAATGGGATCCGCGGACACCCTGAAAGTCCCTAGAGGAAGATGGCGTGAGGAAGAGTTTGTCAACGTTTTGCCTTGGGTAGTATCTCCGTTGCTGTCCCATCGCCGTTGTCGAGTCGTCATCGAGTGCCAGCAGTCAGTGGAAGAGGTCTTCGGCGCCCTCGTCCTCGGACTCTCCGTCTGGGTTGACCACCTGCAATTGCAAACACGATGGCCAGCTAAGCAGGGACGTCCAGGTGGATAGAAAGCTCGAAAGTACTGACCTAGCTCGCCTCCGTTATCGTCCCTTGGGATACCATGGCACGGCTTTGTCACCATTCCCGTCGTCAACATAGGCGGAGCAGCCCCTTCGAGGGTCGGCTGCTTTTTCGTCGGCTGATGGGTGGACCGGACCCGGGGCCACCAGAGGCAGCCATGCCCATGACGGTGCCATCTCTGGTCGACTTCCGCCACCCGGGGCTCTCCTTCAACTTAGTAGAACTTTCCCCCGATCAGCGTTTGATCAAAGGAAGGATTTGCGTGGGATGGTGTCGAGATGGAATGCTTGGGGGGGGGGAGATTGAAGAAATTGGCAACCTTTCTTGCTCGTCTGTGGGAGAAGGAGGAAGGCACGCGGGTGGGATCACAGTCGAGGACTAGCCCTAGCTCTTACTGAGGGAAGGCACATCACGTCGAATACGGAAACAGTTGAAATTCTCTAAGCTCGGGTTCCAATCAATGCATTGCCCCAATCAATGCATTTTGGACACAAGCACGAAAGAATTTGTCAATTCCCTTGGTCAGGTCAGGTCGACGGCGGAAGGTCTCCGGTCTGCGGACATGTTTCCTCGCCACCATCTTTTCCTCCCGACACGAAGCTCCAGACTTCGGGATGGCACCATACACTACGCATCCCATCCTTCTCAAGTTCTCAGCATGGAACGACCTTTCTTGACATGGTACGCATCCAAATTCGCCGTCGTCACCCAAACAGGACATCTCCAGCCCACGTTCCGGGCGTCGACTGGCCCAGAAGCCCCATTCCATCGGGAAGGATTCCTCCACAATTCTCTACCCAATGCCTAGACTTGGGAATCTTCTTCCTCAGACGTATGTTGCCACTGCATGCTGCTGCGTTCATGGGGCCGAGCACGTCGGCGCGATGCCACCGGCGGACAAAGCCGTGATGCTGATTGGACGATAGCGCCGTATTAACGGGGACCGGCCAATCACACCAGAGACAGCAACGGCCCCTGAATGGTGGTTGTTGATCGCGTCAACACCAGCAGGGACCACGACATTGTGGTACCCTTGCAGCACGTCATCCTCTTCGAACTCGGGTCGCTATGTTTTCCTCCTCCAAAGCCAGAGAGCCCGCCCTAACTGCGACACGTCAGTCAAGCCCACGACCCAAAGTAGTATGCAGCGATGGACGAACCCAACTCAGACAAAGACAAAAGGCCGAGATGCTGGTAGGAGTCGAATGGTGTTGCATCCCAGCATCCCAGGCTCCGCAAATATCGGACGCGGAAGTCCTCCGCGAGCTGGAAAAGGGTCCCCGGCACCTGTTCTGCTCCCAATGCCCGGCCACTATCCGCCCACTTCCCGCTGGTCCTCAGCTCCGTGTCGCCTTCGAGCCCAAAATCGGATGCGTGGGGGGATTTTGGGCGTATTTGATGCAGCCAACGCTGAGGCACCGAACCCCAATGCAGGCCGGTGCCATCAACGTGGTGGATGGCGCCATTGATAAGAGGGGTCTGTCGCCGACCTCGTCCCCAACGACAGGCCAAGAGAAGTCCCAGATGTGCTTATCGACAAATCCCCCCTCGATGTCGCCACGGCCATCGCTTCTTGCAACATGGCGCCCCCGCGTTCAGCTCGAGAGACAGCAGCCAGGTCGACAGTACCCCGGGTCCGGCGCCGTGGGTCGGGGAGAGACAAGGAGGGGAGGATCGCCTCGTGGGCGTGGGACACGTCCGAGTATAAATGGACGACTGCCACATCCTACCCTCCGCGGAGATGCGAGTCTTCATCTTGGAGAGCACTCAATTCGACGCCGTGTGACGGAGCTCAGCCTTGGAACGACGCCTCTTATCTAATTTATTGCTCCCTGGTTCGCTACCAGCTCGCCGGGACGACACCTCGGACGGGTCATCATGTCATCCAAAGAGGCCGCAGTGAGGGAGAAGGGGGTCGATTCCCCCGCCCCTGGCACCAGCTCGGGGAATGTGTCACGCGAGAACCTATCGGACGGGGGCTACGGATCCTCGGACGACCACATCTTCAAGGACCCTGCCGTGGCCAACCACTGGCGTGGCGTCTTTGAGAGGGCCGGGTACGAGAACCGCCACCGTTTCGACCCCGATTTCACGTGGACCGCCGAGGAAGAGAAGAAGCTGATCCGCAAGCTCGACATTCGCATCATGCTCTGGGCATGGATCATGTTCTGCGCCCTCGACCTGCACCGCCGCAACATCAATCGGGCGATCAGCGACAATATGTTGCCGGAGCTAGGTGATTACTACCCCCATCAGCCATTTCTTTTTCTGTTTATTTCTCCTGTCATGATGCATCTCGTCAACGCCGGCAAATGGTGTCCTGCCTGAAGGTTAGGGTCGACTGGGCAACCCCTAAATCCTCCGCAAAATGAACCCACACAACCCCTCTTCAGAACTGCAATGGAAGGGAGAGCTAATTGGTGCCCAGGCATGAACACCAATGACTTCAACTACGGCCAGACCATCTTCCTCGCCTCGTTCCTCGCCGCCGAGCTGCCATCGGGCCTCGTCAGCAAGAAGCTCGGCGCCGATCGCTGGATCCCCTTCATCATGTGCGCCTGGTCCATCACGGCCGGCTCGCAGGCCTTCCTCACCAACAGGGCCGGCTTCTACGCCATCAAGGCGCTCCTCGGCCTGCTTATGGGCGGCTTCATCCCTGACATCGTCCTGTGGCTGACGTACTTTTACACGTCTAAGGAGCTCCCGACACGCCTGGCCTGGTTCTGGACGGCCCTCAGCACCGTCAACATTGTCGGGTCCCTCCTCGCGGCGGGCATCCTCAGGATGCGCGGCATCAACGGCTGGGGCGGTTGGCAGTGGCTGTTCCTGATCGAGGGCATCATAACGCTCATCATTGGTGCCTTCTCGTGGGTTCTGATGCCGCCAGGGCCGACGCAGACGCGCAGCTGGTTCCGCGGCAAGGACGGCTGGTTCTCGGACCGCGAAGAGTCTATCATTGTCAACCGGATCTTGAGGGACGATGCTGTACGTGCTCGCAACGATTCCCAACGCTGCCAGGCAGATGCTGACAGATTTCACAGAGCAAGGGCGACATGAACAACCGGCAGGCGGTCGGGCCCAAGCTGCTCTGGAAGGCCATCAAGGACTGGGAGATGTGGCCGCTGTACCTCATCGGGCTGACAAACTACATCCCCCCTTCGCCCGTCAACACCTACCTGTCCTTTATCCTGCGACAGATCGGCTTCTCCGTGTTTGACGCCAACCTCCTCGCCATCCCGGGCCAGTTTCTCTTTGCCGTCAACCTGCTCATCATCACGTGGGTCTCGAAGAAATTCAACGAGCGGTCTATCGTTTCGTCCCTCTCTAACCTCTGGATGCTGCCGTGGTTCATTGCCCTGGTTGCGGTCCCCGACGCCCAGCCCTGGGTGCGGTACGCGATCCTCACGGGGATCCAGTCGTACCCCTATTGCCACGCCATCCTGGTGGGGTGGAACGCGAAGAACTCTAACGCCGTCCGGACGAGGGCGGTATCGGCGGCCTTCTACAACATCTTTGTGCAGAGTGGAAACATCATCGCCAGCAACATCTACCGGGACGACGACAAGCCGTTGTACAAACGCGGGAACCGGATTCTGCTCGGAATCGCGGTTTACAACATCTTTCAGTTTTACGGCGTCAAGGCGTTTTATATCTGGCGCAACAAGATCCGCGACAAGGCGTGGAATGCGCTGACACCACAGGAGCAAGCGGACTATGTGCTGCACAGCAAGGACGAGGGGATGAAGAGGTTGGACTTTCGGTTTGCGCACTGAGGTGTCTGGGGGTTGGCTTGTGGAGAGCACGCATTGGATGTGCTTTTGTGTTGGTGGCGTTGGCTCAATCGGTAGAGCGTTGGTCTCATAGCACATATGAGCCGGTGTCAAACATCGGTATCAACAATCCCAAGGTCAAGAGTTCGAATCTCTCATGTTCCGTGTATCAGTTTTGCTGCTGCGTGATGCAGATGTTGTGGGGTGGGGGTGGTGGAGATGGGGGTTGACGTCAACCGCAAGGGGCGACAAAGTAGCCCAGGGTTAGGGTCGCAGACGGGGGTGACGGCCCAGTTATGTTTCACCGGGACAACCTCTGCACAAGACACAAATGCACGTCGGCTCCTCCCGTCTGGCTGGCGGGAATGGCTTCCTGGTTTCGTGCGTCGAGTTTGCGATGTTTGCCCCCTTTTTCCCATGGCCGTTCTCGTTATCGATTGAGGGCGATGGGCCTGTTTGGCACCAACAGGGTTAGCGCTGCCAGCCCCCTGACAAGAGGGGGAAGGGGATCCACCAGGGTGGCCCTGCCAACCGAGATGCCAGCTGGCGGTTCGCTGGTTTTCGTGTCGTTGTTGTGCTGGCGGGGGCGGTGTGGTGTTTTTGGCCTTTTGGGCACGCCCACACCGCCAGATCGACTCCGCATCGCATCACATTGCGGGAGACGGCCACTCGCTCACTTGCAGAGCGGCGTTGCGGGACACATCCGCATGCTCGAGTGTGCATGAACCGACGACCCTTGATCAATTGTTTTGGCTCTTGGGGTTTTATTTTTATCTTTATTTTGACACCAAGATTTCACCCATACTGCCGCTGTCTGTCGTCCTCGAGCATCACCCCGCCCGACACCGCCCGACACCGAGAGCCCAACACGAGCCCAACCGGAAGAATTCACCCAGCTCAACCCAGGTAGCGAGTGCGGGATTTGAGGTTCTCCCCCCAATGGCCCCCTTCCCCGACTTTGGGACATGGCTGCTGCGGTCGGTCCGCGGCGGAGACGCCAACCCCGACAGCCCCGTGTCGGTCATTGAGCGGCTCAACGCGCTGCCGCGTCCGCTCCGGAACGCCGCCGACAAGGACACCCTGGTCGGCGCCGTCCTCACCCTCGGCCCCAGCCTCCAGCTCGCCCTCCACATCCTGCTCGAGCTGCTGCCCGAGGACGACGACCGCGAGCGCCTCGGCGAGGTCCTCTGTCCCACCCTCGGCCAGCTGCAGCGCTCTCTCACCGACACCCTGCTGTCGCTGAGGGGCTCCCAGGACGACAAGTCCAAAAAGTCCTTCGCCGCCAACCGCGCCAAGCACATGCGCGGCCGCTCCAACACCCTCCCCTTGCCCTCCGAGATTCTGTTCCGCGGCGTGCGCATCGACCGGTCCATCAAGACGCCCTCGGCGGCGCCGACCCTCGCCCAGGTCCCCGAGTCTCCCTCTTCCTACCCCAGTCCGGACGCGATAGAGGAGTCCCCCCTCGAATACTTTCTCGACGAGCCCGAGCTGCCCTCTTCACAAGTACCCTCACAACCAACCCCTCCTCCCCCCATCTTCACCAAAACCACCAAGTCCCCCGTGCCCGCCCCCCTCCCGACAGCATCCCTCTCCCCCCTCGCGCCCCCCTCCCCCGCTCCCCTTCGCCCACCCCCTCGGCCCGCCGCCCCGACCCCGCCGCCGACCTCGCCCTCGTCAAGGAGCTCCGCGCCGAGATGCGCGTCAACGCCGCCATCCAGGTCGCCGTCGACTCGCTCGAGTTCGCCGAGGGCCAGCTCAAGATCGTCAAGAACGTGCACCGCCTGCACGGCGGCAGCTTCCAGCTGCTCGAGAAGCATTTTTACCAGGGCTACAACCGGATCCTGTTCCGCGCGCTGGAGCTAGAGCGCCGCGAGTTTGACTCGCCGTCGGGGAGCGACTACTGTCCGTCGCCGCGGCTGGTGTGCGATGACATGGGGGATTTGATGGTCGAGGGGAAGATGAAGGAGGAGGCGGCGGCGGTGCCGCAGAGGTCGATTTCGTTCGAGGAGCATGCGCGGGACGAGGTGGTGCCGGTGTTGCAGCTGGAGCCGCCGTCGCCGGAGAAGGGGGGGGGACCAGACGCCAAGACGGTGGCGTCGAGGCCGGCGAGTCCGGAGAAGAGGATGACCGTGCCGGCGGTGGGGCCGGGGCCGGAGTTGATGAGAAGGAATACGGCACCGGGGCGGACGGGGCAGGGTAGGTGCCTTTTTCTCTCTCCGCTGCTCGTTTAGGTCGAACTGACATCTGCATCAGGTGCAAGACAAGCGGCAAGGACACGGCCCCCCGCCAAACGACGGCTGTCCCTGGCCGAGGAACTGGCACTTGCAGGAGATAGCACCACCAGCGAGGAGGACGACGAGAGCGGCGAGGAGGACGACGACGACGACGACGACGAGCCGGAAACCACGCAGGCGGGCCCCAAACTCACAGATCACAACTCCGATTCGGACGGGGATGCGGATTCCAGCTCCGAGTCGCCCAGCGACAGAGACACGGCGCCGCGAAGGACAGGACCGAACGGATCGGGCGGGTCAGACAGCGACGAGTCCAGCTCAAGCGACGATGACGATGAAGCAGACGAGAGGTCAACGCAGTCGAGCATCGCACCGGTACCGGCACCGGCACCGGCACCGGCACCCAAGCTTCAAGCTGCTATTGTCAAGGCGGTGGTGACTAGAGGAGGGACAAAGCGGCTGCAGACGGCGTTGCTTGTTAGCAGTCCTCCAACTTCGCCGGAGCGGCAGGCGGATATAATAGCGTCGGCGCAGAAAGGATCTTAGGGTCTTGGGTCATGTTTTTTGTATATTCGAAGCAACACAGCGGCGGATGGAAACCAACACGGCGCTTTGAAACTTCCCCATCCAAACTTGACAACGGCTGGCGCAGGAGAACCGACACCGGATCAGGCAACGACTAGTCGGTTGTTCCCGCGTCGATTGTTTCGTTTCTGGTGATAGCGGAGCTATTTGAATTTGAACTGACGACCCGCCGACCTCCCGGCATTTAGCTCACCTGTGCCGGTGATCCGTTCCGCTGACAGACGATGCCGACGCCAGACGGAGCGAGACTATGGTCGAACCCCATGATTTCCCTGTGTTTCTGTGGGGGATTGGCGGGGAACGGTACCTTAATTAACAGGGTCGGAGCTCGGGAGCGATGCGTCTCCCCCAATAACATGGGTATATACACGCTGATGCTGCCAAAAGCGACCTAGAACGCTGAGCCATGCAGGCAAATAAAAGTGGCGGCCGGGACGGCGGTCGCGTCCAGCCGCGAGGCCCTCTACCTGAGCGGCGATGGCAGCGGATGGGTAAACTGGGTAATATAGGAATGAGACCGAAGCAACCGAGCGACAATACCCGCCATAGCAGCGCGGCCTCGATTCACGGAGCGAGGCACGGAGCAGACACGCATCGAGATGGGAAATAAATACCAAGCCCCACCGCCCACGCCGCCCCTGGCGCACCACATTCCCGGGATAGATGGAAATCCCATATTATACCCTCCACCGTCTGTAGAGGTTGTTTGCCGGCGTGCAACGCAATGTGCCAAGTGACCCCAATATCGCAGCCCTGCTCTCCTTATCCGAACCCCCCCCGCTGGCTATAAAGGGGTCTCGGGTCGCCAACGCCGGTCGACTGGATTCGATCTCCCCACGTCCCCCCCTTTCCACCCCCCGCAAGCACAGACAAGATGCACGTCCTCTCGCTCGTCCCCGCCTTCGCCGGCCTCGCGGCGGCCCTCACCATCCCTGGCGCGGGCCTCGAGTCCCGCCAGACGACGACGGCGCCCGCGTCCGTGTCCCTCGCCGGCATCACGTACGCCGGCTCGGGCTGCGCGGCGAGTTCGCTTGGCGCGGCTGCCTTGGCCAAGCCCGGCGTGATCCCGGTGCCGCGCAAGGTTTTTGTGGCCAAGTCGGGCGAGAACAACACGCGCGTCGCCGAGACGCGCGTCAACTGCCAGACGACCATCAGCCTCAACCACACGGCCGGATGGCAGTACTCGGTCAGCGAGGCCGACTACTACGGGCGCGTGGTGCTGGCGCTGGGGGCCGAGGCGATTTCCAAGACGACGTATTACTTTTCGGGTAATACCGCGCAGGTATGTTGCGTCCATCTCGGTTGATGATTGGGGTGTGGGTGCTGATAAGCGAGAAGCTCTCCAAGCAGTACTACTTTGACGGCCCCTTCAACGGCATCTACTTCCGCAACGACCGCTTCGACACGGGCACACGGCTGTGGTCGCCGTGCGGCTCGGGCGCCATGCTCAACATCAACACCGAGGTCCGCGTCGCGCCCAAGTCGGGCATGACGTCGAGCAAGCCCGCGAGCATGGAGGGGTACCACCTGCTGGGGGACCAGATTGAAGTAATCTGGAAAAAGTGCTAGACTCTAGCCTCTGGACGCTGGTCGGGTACTACCAAGTGGCTGACTGGCTGGGTGGGAGTGTCGGGGAGGTGAGAAATGTAAATAGGCTGGGGGTGCGGGCATGGCATCTCGGGGGGGGGGTAAGCAATAGATAGGTATTCATTGTCTGCCGCCGTGTTTGGTTCTCATCTTGCATCGCCATCTTGTGGTTGTGGTGTTGAGGAGGGAGTTTTGGAAAAGGGGATGGTGATTTCGAAGCTGGGGTGGGCAGAGGTAGTAAAGAGCGTATCTAGGTGGCTTTCATGATCTAGGCTCCAGGGGATTCAGTTACAAAGGCTCTTTCGAGTGGGAATTGTGCGTGGAGGGAAACAAGCGATGAAAAAGATTTTGCGCCTGCACTTTGCCCTTTGGTCTTGACCCCCGCCCCCCCCCTCTCCCCAGAGGAAGAGAAATTACGGGACCTGGAGGACCTGGAAGGAAATTTTTTAGGCTCTCCACCGGGCCGACAAAGTCTTTTCTTTCACCACTATCGCCGGTCTTCTCAGACTTTTGCCACTGCGCTTCAGGAAAAGGCCATTTCCTCTTTCCTCTCTGCCTCGACCTTGCAAAGTGCCGTTGGATTATTGTCTATCCCCTTGGGTGCAGGGCATCCCAGAACCTTAGAATTCGCCATTATTGCGAGTGGAACCCCCCCTGCTTGGGGCTTTCCAGCCCTTCCCTCCATCTTTCCCAGCACAAACTCTACCCGATCCCCCAGATCAGCTACCGCACTCGGCAACACCACAAACTCGAGCCCTA